GGCCCATGGAAGCTAACAGCCCCCTGCAAGAGAGTGCCCCAAAGTATGTTTTTTCCCCAGTTGCAACATAGAGTGAAGGTATGGAAAAGTTGAGAACCACTGTGATATGAGGCAGACTGTTTTAGGGAGGTAATTCATACATGGTATCAGGGGAAGTGATACATTTAAAAATTGCACTTGGTTTACATAGGCTTTTTCTCAAAAGTACCCATGCCACCAATAAAAAAAATCTGAAGTGTCGCTTTCAATAATTTGTACATACCGATGAGACTGTGTACACTAAACATATGAAGGATGAGAACATAGATACTGCAGCAAGCAATCTTTCCCATCCTAGTACTTTGTCTAAACTTACTATCAAACTTCCATTAAAATGAAAGGTTGTGTTCATGATAAAATAATCCATCTTTTGGCAATTGCCTCATGGAATGGCCATATAACATTATGACTCAAAGGGAGAAAACAATCCGCGATTCAGTAGTAATTATTGAGAATAATTTAATACTGGAGATCAGATCATACGGGTAGCATTAGGGATGTTAAATATCGGTTAACCTCATGAATTCGTATCGGTTACTTGACTATTCTATAGTCCCTAGGGGCGGGGCCACCAGCCAGTGCACTCCAGCCTCACTCCCAAGGAGCCTCCTGCCACTCCGCATTGCTGCCTCTGTATCAGAGGCAGCAGTATGGGATGCTAGGTGGGAGCTGGTCTGCAAGGGTCCCCTCGTTGATTGGCTGTTTTTCACCCTGTTTTTCACCCAGGACGGGTCTGAGCTCCCGGACCCAGCACAAGCTGGAACTGAGCAGGGCTGCCTTTCCGCCCAGCCCCCAATACACTTTAAACACAGCAGGGGCAGTCCTGGATCCACCGCGCGCCAGGATTAAGCCGGTTTGCTGGCCAGCCTGTTAAAAAATGTACTGGTGGAGGGGAGAGGAAATGCATGTAGTCTATAACATTAACCAATTAGCTTTTGCTTATCAGTTAATCAGCTATACTATTACATCCATAGGAGGGATGTAAATGAAAGCTTTAATTTTCACCCATCGTGCAGCCTCTGACCGCCGTGGGGCATAATATCAGAATTCACTTCAGTCATTCGCTGACAGTGACACAATAAGGCAGTAGAACTTCTTTCTAAACAGGGATTTTTCAGAGAGTATCCAAAGTGATAAAAATAATTTCCAAAATGAAGCAAAAAAAAAATCAAGGTTTCAAGGCCACATTTTAATGGTGGAAATGACTAAGAGGCCTTGAAGAATGGTGAACAAGATGTGAATGGATGGAACCAGGCAAGCTATTATGTGGGTTTTAATTGTGCCTACAGGCCTTAGTGAGGACCAGAGCCCCTTTGTGCCAGACACTGTACATATACACACAGGCTATGTCTACACTACAGGTTTTGCCAGAAGAGGCAATGCAAATGAAGCGTGGATTAGCATTTTCCTGCACTTCATTTGTATAAT